AGGAATGCAGTTTAATTTTTACAGAGTACTTGACATGGGTGGTTTTGATCGATGGCGGGTAATATAGAAGTCCCGTGGATGTGGGCGGGTGGCACCGTTCAGCCCATGCTTAAATCTAATTGAAACTGAGGGACTTTTTCTTTCTTTTTTTTAAAGCATAACTCTGGATTATAGCCTAGTTGGGGTCGAAAGCTGTTTAGCTGGCAGAGTGATTTGGCCTAAGGAATGCTCTCCTGTGGTTTGGGTAGCTTTGCAGCTTTAGGTGGCAGATTATGTCCTTGGCTGTTAGGAAAGGGAGAGCGGGCTTGCCTATTTGCACAGATGAACCAATGAAAGCTGCCTTACACTGGATCAGCCCATCAAAGTCAGTATGGTCTACTCAGATGGGAAGGGGCTCTGCAGGGTCTCAGGCTGAGGTCTTTCCCATCACCTCCTTGCCTGCTCCTTTTAACTGGAGATGCCAGGGATTGAACCCCCGGGGCCTTCTGCGTGCCAAGCAGATGCTCTGCCAGTGAGCCACAGCCCCTCCCGTGCAACTGAGCGCCTGGGTGACATCTCTCCCCGCTTGGCTGAAAGGCTGTGACTGTTGACCCACCTTAACAAAAATAAATAAATAAAACCAGACCGATGTCCCTCTTTGTGCATCAGGAGTGGTTTTTGGTCTCTGTAGCGATGAAGCCACTCTGGCAGCACTATGGGGAGGGCTCTGAGTCTTGCTTCTGGCACCAGGCTCTGAGTCTTGCTTCTGGCCCACCTATCCACCACCAGGCTTGGGCCGCTGTTGGTGAGGCACAGGCAAATCCCTAGTGGGGCTTGGGCGTTTCAGAGAGGTGGCTTTGATATTTCCTGCCTCTGCGTCCCGGCCTTGGTATTCTTTAGAGGTTGCCCTTCCAAGTACTTGCCAGGGTCGGCCCATTCTGGGTGCGAATATCTGCATATTATTGGTGGCCAAGTGTGCAAATGGCCTCCTTTGAGATTGTTATTGGTGGGCCCGTGCCTGAAATGGATTTTCCGCTGTGCAAGCCGCTCGGTTGTAATCAGAACCGCTGCCTTCTTCCGAGGTGGCTGTATTTTTTTTTTTAGCCGTTATTGCGTTTGTCAGGGCTTATTGGCTTAGGTCGGCAAATCTGCTTTTGAAAGTTGAGGCCTGCACTTGAGTGAGAGCCCTCGAATGTATTCTTGGACGTGGGCAGCATCGGCCAAACTCTCAAGAAGATATAGCAAAAAATGAAACCCCAGTGATGTGTGGGCGGGCTTTGACTCTGCCATGACTGACAACCAGAGTTAATTACGCAAAGTGGCCTCTTTGGCATAATTTATTCATTCAGGGCAGAGCATTTGAATTGTCTGCCTAAATTAAAATACTCCATTTTAAGGGACTGGACTGAGGGATGACTCTTCTTGAACATCCAACTGCAGTTTATTTTCAGTTTCCTTTTGCTGTTCCATGAGTTGGGCATGTTCAAGAAAGTGACTTGAGTTGTGCTATGGGGTGTAGGGATTAGAGTGTAAAACTAGGATCAGGGTGACCTAAGTGCGAATCACCCCATTGCCGCGGAAGCTTTGCTGGGTGACCTTGGGCCAGTCACTCTCTTGGCCTAATCTACCTTGCAGGGTGGTTGTTGTCAAACTAAAATGGAGGAAGGGAGAGGGAGAGGGAAGAAGAATGGGGTATAAATGTCTAATTAAATGGGGTGCTTCTAAAGATCACAATAAAGAGACGAAGAGAAGGGATTGGATTTATACCCCATCCTTCACTACCTGAAGGAGTCTCAAAGCGGCTTACAAACTCCTTCCCATAGCAGACACCCTGTGAGGTAGGTGGGCCTGAGAGAGCTCTTTCGAGGACTGCTTCTGAGAGAGCAGCTCTGAATGAAATTGTGACTTACCCAGGGTCACACCAGCAGCTCCATGTGGAGGAGTGGGGAATCAAACCTGCTTCTCCCAGATTAGTGTCCGTGCTCCTAACCACTGCACCAAACTGGCTCTTAAAGACACTAATTACAACAGATTAACGCCCAGGTATACCAAAGTTGTATTAAAGGCCTTCCTGAGTGCATAATTGGCTTGTGGCTAAGCTGCAATGGGACAGAGTTCCACAGTCTAGGGGGGTGGCGGTTGAGAAGGCCGTCACCATTATCCCTGCTGGAGGCACCTCTGAAACACATTGCAGGTACTGTTAGTCGGATCGTCTTGGGTGCCGTTGGAGTGCAGGTGGCACTTGAGAGTCTCTGGAACTGATTCTTAGAAACAGAGTCGGAAGGGGCCATACAGGCCATCTAGTCCAGTGATGGCGAACTTTTAAGAGACCGAGTGCCCAAACTGTGACCCAAAACCCACTTATTTATCGCTAAGTGCCAACACGGCAATTTAACCTGAATACTGAGGTTTTACTTTAGAAAAAGACAACTCATACATTAACTTAAGATGATCCAAACAAAGTAAGGAAAGCAATCCCAAATGCTTTCATTTACTTAAAATTATTTGGCAGAGAATTTGACACTTTAATGATGGTCTGGGCCTGGCTGGGGCGATGGCACGCATGCCCACAGGAAGGGCTCTGAGTGCCACCTCTGGCACCCGTGCCATAGGTTCACCACCAGTGATCTAGTCCAACCCCCCGCTCAATGCAGGATCAGCCTAGAGCATTCCTGACAAGTGTTCATCCAGCCACTGCTTGAAGAGTGCCGGGGAGGGGTTTTTAAAGTGAAGAAGTGAAGGGCTCTACTGGTCGAATCCAGCACTTTTCACTAGGCCCAGAAATGTAGTTGACACCAGAAGCAAGAGGCTCGTTTTACCCTGGGTGTTGCTTTCTGAGCCAGTGAAGTTTTCAGATGGCCTTCAAGGGCCGCCCCAGGTGGAGCCCATCGGTGTAGTCCATGCTTCAAAGTCAGAAGGGAGGTCCAGGTGATCTGTGAAGTTTGATACTGGTTCCTGGAACTTTGGGATGTTCCTTCTCGTCCTGCACCACCGGACTGTCTTTTTGTTGACATATCCCCCCCCCCCCCCCCGGAGAGAGACTGTTGTTAACTGAAAACTCAGTCAAAATTAGTCACGTTGACACGCTGAACTTAGTCGTGACTAATTCTTCCCGTGTTTTCAGTAGCATTTAGTCATGACTAACTTCAGCTTAATGTTCAGGCAGCAGTACAGCTAAAGCTTGCGAGTGTAAAGGGGGAGACAGGCTTTATGATGCAATTGTGGTCGCGCTTCCTTTTTAGGACTTTTGGTTGCGCTCCAGGGAGAAATAATGTGTTTAGGGTCTGACATTTAGAAATGCAGCCATTCAGCATGGATAAATTGAACTTAACTTCTCCAAATGCTGGAAGGAGACACTGCTCTGTCTACGGAGTGCGTGCGCATTAAGAGCTGTCAAGTTGCTTCAACCTGTGGTGCAATTAGCAGTGATATGCAAATTTTTGAGTTAACGCAGAATCCTTCATCAAGTGGAGGCAAAAAGCCTATTCCAAACTTCAGCTGGAAGTTGGACAGGTACTTGCCTATTGTTATTGCTGGAGTTAACCGCAGTGGTGAATGCCAGAAGAGCGAGCTTGGAGTCCGGTAGCACCTTAGATGCCTGACGAAGGAAGCGTTGACAGTTTATACCCCCCAAAATCTTGCTGGTTTCTCAGGTGCTCCTGGAATTTCTCCTGAAAACCAACTTGGCTGCCTTCTGAAAGAATGCCAGGAATATTAGTCTGGAATGGGGAAAGCTGTCTTAGACGGCAAATCTTCCTACTCCACATTTTGAATAAGTAAAGGCTTCTCGGAAGAACTGCTCTGCTCACCCCGAGAGAGATAAAAATAAGGCCGATGGTGCAACATCAGGGTAGAGTACTCAGTTAAATTTCTCAAGGACAGAAAAAGCTCTAGCGGTTTTGTACGTAGCTGATATTTTAGGACCTGGATTTTAACTTTGAATGCAATATCTTATTTGTATAATTTTATGTACATATGTAAACTCAGTGTTGTTATTACGTATGACAGATTCCCCTGACGACGCCTGTTGGTGGAACGCTCAGGGGATTTTTTTGAAATTTAACTGAGTAATAACACATATTTTAACCCAATTTTGCACCATTGGCTTTGGGCCTTATTTTTTTATCTCCTGTGACTGGTGCAGTTCTTTATTTTCTTGTCTCATTCCAAAAGAGAAGATATTTCATAGTCGTTACTTTGGTGCTTACCCAGATTTCTGTTTTTTTCCATTGGGGGGGCACCTTAAGACTACCCTGTTTCCCCGAAAATAAGACCTACCCAAAAAATAAGCCCTAGCAGGATTTCTATGCATTTGTGGTATAAGCCCTAGTGTGTCTTCTTGAGAAAAAATAAATATAAGACAGTGTCTTATTTTCGGGGAAACACGGTAGAACTGTTTTCCAAAAAAAGTCCCGCTTCTCCCCCCCCCAAAAAAAGATCGGTAGCTGAGCACATAGTGCAGTGGCGGAGTAGCAGCCACCACTGCGGTTACCTGGCAACCCGATGGATGGATTCCCTGGTGTGGTTGTTTGTGATGCTGGGAAAAGAGCAGTCCCTGTCTCCCCTCCCCCCAGGGGCTTGAAGTACGCCTGGGATCTTGGCACAAGGGAAGGAGTGACTGGCAGCTCGAGGTTAGGAAAGTATGAAGTCATTGGTGGCTCAGTTTCACAAGAAGAAGAATGGAGGGCCCGGAGTGTAAATATAGATTACAATTGCACCGACGTTCCAGGTGGAATAGGAAGGAGTCAGCCTGCTTGCTTAAAACCGATGCAGCCGAGCGGGCCTCAGGAGGCATTCCATCTCCTAAGGGAACTGCCGGCAGTTTCCGTCAGCACCTCTAGCTTCGCGTGCGTGTACTTTTAATTCTCACGGGTATCTTTTTATTTCTTTAACTTAGTAACCCGTCTTTACCCAAAGCAACTTAGTTCTTCTTTCCTCTGTTTTATCGTCACAACAACCCTGTGAGGGAGGTTAGGCTGAGAGGGTGAAACCGGCCCAAAGTTAGCCAGCAGGCTTCCTGGATCCTAGGTGACTCATTTCTAACCCTACGCCACTCTGGCTCTCAGTGTATGTGGGCGACAAGAACGAAGCCTTCTGTCACGTAGGGGGTTTTGCCGTAAGCTTAACTATTAAAAAAAAAGAAATTATTTTGTTGGTGTGCTGGTTGGGGGCCATGGCAGCCTCATTTGAAAAAAAATTATCTCCTGTGTGCCTTGTTTTAGACTCCCACTTCTGCATGTTCAAGGGGCTTGTGGGACTGTTTTCTTGTGTCCGAGACTCGATAGTAAAAGTGAAGGCTGGAGAATAATTTGCAGAAGTCCGTGTCTGTGTTAGCAGTGGCTTTGGACCCTGCAGTGAATTTGTTCTAATGGAAGGGAGAATGTGATTTTTGCCAGTTCTCTCCTCCTGTTGCAGGACTCCCAGCTGGTTAATTGTGAGGAATTTCAGAAAGACAATATAATCCTGAAGAGGAACGGTTCCCAAACAGTTTCTGGTCTGTCATTTCAGACCGAACCGTTTTAGAACCGTTTCCCTACGGGAATTTATTTGTAATTTCAGACACAAACGCTTCTGTCCTGTTTAGGAAACGGGGCTGAAGCGTTTTACCTGAGCCGCTTCCGGTTCCGGTTCCGATGCGCTTTTTCCCGCCGTTTTTCGCCCGCGCGGGCGATCTCCGGCTTTTTTTGGGAACATTCGTTTTATAGCATTATAGCGCTATAACGCAACAGCATTATATCAACCCCATTGAAATGCTCTAAAGCGAGTGTTAAAAAAACAAAAGCCAGAGATCGCCCCCACAAAACGGGTTTAAAAGGGTAATGTGAAATTCCTCAGAGTCTTGGGCGGGTGCCCCTCAGGAGCAGAATTTCAAGGCGAGGAACTCTCATTGTATTGATGGAAATACCTCAGTGGAGATTTACTGTAGGGTACAAGCCAATAGCTGTGGCTTCCACAGTCATTCACATTACTCAGTCTTTCAGACGACTTCATAGTGCTACCTCTGAGGTCTCTGTAACCCTTCGCACCAACACCTCTATATGTCTCTGACATTTTTCTAAAAAGGAAGCACCCCACACTTCTCAGTTGGAATGTTTATGAACATTCTGTAGCACTTCAGCAAGTGTGCCAGTGGCTGCCAGGGCCTCATTTTGCGCAACCTGCGCCCCCATCTGTTTCAGCCAACAGCCATGTGGGCTTCAAGGCCTGCTTCTAGCTCACTTCTGTCCAGTTTGCTCAGTTGTTTTCCTTCAACAGTACGTCATCTGTGGTTCTAGCCCAGCCATGCTTCGATCTGTTATTTGTGATAGCAATAACCGGTATATGACTAAATTATCGTGGGATTAAACGTTTCTTTTTAAACGAAGGGAATGCTGATGAAGATGGGAGAGGCTGGGCTCAAATGGGACTGCCCTAGGGAGTTTGGGTGGCGGCGCAAGACTTCGTGCAAACGGTGTCGCTAGGGATTTCCCCCCCCCCCACATTATGGGGGTCAAATGTAACCTGGAGTGTTTTGTCCTCCACTAGACCAGTCTCGAGGTGCTAACATGTTGGATTCACTGACTTTTTCAGGTGGCTACGAGAGGTTTCATTCAGAGTATCCAGAATTCTGCGCAAAGACCAAATTTCCCGTGACGGCATCTCCTCTGGCCTCTGTGGATGTTCTTGAGCACAGCTGCAGCTCCTGTGGAACCCCCCAGCACGATCAGGTCAGCTTTCCTATGCTTACCAGGTTTAAATTTAATTAGTCTCCAACAGGGCTTTTTTGGTTTTTTTTAAAAAAAAGTCCAGCAGGAACACATTAGCATAATAGGCCACACCCAACAGCAGGACCTCATTAGCATATTAGGCCACACCCCTGATAGCACCACTCATTAGCATATTAGGCCACATTCTCATGTTACCAGAAGTGTGGTCATCCAGCCACACCCACCTTTTGCTTCTTATTCTGTTTACCTTGTTTGTTGTCAAAACCTAGTGCTTTTTTGTTGTTGCAGGAACTCCTTTGCATGTTAGGCCACACCCCCCTAATGTAGCCAATTCTAATGAATTTCTACTGCTGGGTGTGGCCTGTTATGCTAATGAGTTCCTGCTGGGTGTGGCCAACTCGGGAGCCAGCCGGAACTCCGTTCCTGTGCGTTCCTGCCCAAAAATAGCCCTGGTCTCCAAAAAGCCATTTGTAAGTTCTTGCAGAGGACAAGGCCCGGGGTGGGGCGGGGGTGGACGATTTGGGGGAAAGACCTCCCCCCCCCCTCAAGGACTTTTTAAGTGGCCATCCGGTGATTTTGAGAAGCAGCAGAAAAAGAAATATTTTTTTCCATTTCAGAAAGAATAAAATGCTCTTAAAGATAAGATGTCACTTGTTCAAAATGTCCATTTTTATGTAAGGCGGTCCCGGAGCATTAGACAAGTGTTCCTTTGTATGCTTTCAAGGTTATTTTTTGGAGTTTTTCCCATGGCGTCAGTTTCGCAGAAGTTTGACAGCTAGGCTATTTCACATCCGTCCAGTGCTTTCTCTCTGCAAGCACGCTTCTCTTGTCTGGCAGGAAGAGATAAGTAACTCTTCCCTGGCTCTCCGCAAAAGATGTGGAGCCTCACCGAGGCCTTATCTGTTACAGAGAACCAAGCGTCCAAACAGGATTGGCTCAAGGTCTTGTGTGTTCCTCTTGGCTCAGAAGCTAAGTGTCAATTGCATTCCTTCCTGCCATTTTGGAGTGGTGTTGCTGTGACACTTCAGTCAAGGCAGCATGATTGAAATCCATATTCGCAGTCTTAAGGGGAGTAACTGTGATCCCATTGTAAAGGCTAGGAAGAGCAATGCTCTAAAAACAGAAATGATTTAAAAAGTTGTTCTAATATATGATGTTACAGTGAATGCCCAAAATGTGGACACTGCAGAGAACTGATGGGAAACAGTAGACATGAGCAATTGGTTGCTTGTCATTCAGAAGTGTGCTCACTAAACTTCAGATTTTGAAACCGTTTGCTCTAGCCTTGGCATTTGGGGCTTTTGTGTAGTCAGTGTCATGTCAGATTAGAATTCAGCTTGCCAGATGATTCATTCACACACACTCAGCCTAATCTACCTCACAGGGCTGTTGTGAGGATAAAATTGGAGGAGAGGACAATGGGGTCTTGGGGGGGGAGAAAGGCAAGGTACATATTAAGTAAGTTAATAAAATTCTGTAAAAACGTGAGGAAATTACACAATGTGGTACAGCCTTCAGCATCCTTGTTCTTTTTTTAAAAAGGCAAGTTTCTAGCCCCTGTCGCTTGAAAGATTATGGTAGCAAATGTAGCAGCAATGTCTGAAGTCTCAGAAGCTAAGGAGAGTCTTGGCACCATTACCATTAGTCAGGGCTGGATGGCTTCCACAACAGTTCATGGAAAATGAAAACAATAATCTGGATAATTAGTACATGTTGCCAAATGTTAGGAGCTGTGGTGGCTCAAGTGGTTAAGACGCTGAACTGCAGGCTGTGGAAGGTCAGTAGTTCAAGACCCGGGTGCCACAAGACGGAGTGAGCTCCCGTCTCACTAGTTCCAGCTCCTGCCAACCTAGCAGTTCGAAAGCAAGAAATTGCAAGTAGATAAATAGGGACCACTTTGGTGGGAAGGTAACAGCGTTCCGTGCGCCTTGATGTTTAGTCATGCCGGCCACATGACCACGGAAACGTCTTCGGACAGCGCTGGCTCTTCGGCTTTGAAACGGAGATGAGCACCGCAACCCTACAGTCGGACTCGACTGGCTTTTGAGCAAGGGAACTTTTACCTTTACCTTACCAAATTTTAGATATCTTTAAGCACAAAGGTCTGGCTCTTGACTACCCGACCCGCTATAATCAGAAGCCGCAGAAGTCATTCCAGTTGGGTTTTCCTCCATCAAAAGCTCCCTGGTTTTTGTCACCGTGTCACACTGACTTCTTCTCCCCCCCCCCTTCTTCTTTCTCCTCTTTCTCCTCTCCTGGAGCAGGGTGGCCCGGTAGAAATCCTTCCTTTCCTGTACCTCGGCAGTGCGCATCACGCTGCGAGAAGAGACATGCTGGATGCTTTGGGGATCACAGCTTTGTTGAACGTTTCGTCAGACTGCCCGAACCACTTTGAAGGACACTTCCAGTACAAATGCATTCCGGTGGAAGACAACCACAAAACGGACATCAGTTCCTGGTTCATGGAAGCCATCGGATACATAGGTACGCCCAGGCTTTGAGGGGGTAAAGTCTGGGTGCTGGGAAAGGGGATAGTTGGGAGAGAGATGGATACAGGCCTGAAGTTCAGAGTTTTAGAGCCCAGCTTTTACTTTTGGAGCTATGTTAGTTCTCCAGCTAATGGAAGAATATCTAAGGCAGCTGCTGTCCCGTCAGACAAAATGCTGGTGTCCAAAGCATGCATGGTAGCCCCACCAGGGCTTTCAAAAGATTCCTGTTCTTACGTTCCCTAACTTGGCTCTCAAAAGTTAAATCCAAGCAGCCAGAACTCAGTGCATGTAATACTGGGAAGGGGGGCTGTGGCTCAGTGGAATATCATCTGCTTTGCATGCAGAAGGTCCCAAGTTCAATCCTCGGCATCTCCAGTTAAAAAGGATCAGGTAGTAGGTGATGGGAAAGACCTCTTCTGGAAACCCTGGAGAGCCCCCGTCACTCTGAGCAGACAATACTGACCTTGATGGACTGGTGGGCTGATTCAGTAGAAGTTAGCTTTGTACCCTTTTTATTAGGACCAGCCAAACAACACAAAATAGTGTGAACTTTTTTGACTTAACCAGAATTCTTCATCAGGCTGGACGTTGCCTCCCAAAAATTGTTTTAAAAGAGAGGAAAATTCTGTGGGACAAGATGATGTCAGGGATGTTCTAGGCCAGAGGTTCCCAAACTTATTTGGCCTACCGCCCCCTTTTCAGAAAAAAAAAAATTACTCCGCACCCCCCCAGGGGGTGGTATTGCTCACTTTGGGAACCAGTGCTCCAAGCCTGATCCTGCTTTGAGCAGGGGGGCTGGACTAGATCAGTGATGGTGAACCTTTTAAAGACCGAGTGCCCAAACTGCGACCCAAAATCCACTTATTTATCGCAAGGTTCCAACACGGCAATTTAACCTGAATACTGAGGTTTTACTTTAGAAAAAACAACTCATACATTAACTTAAGATGACCCAAACAAAGTAAAGAAAGCAATCCCAAATGCTTTCATTTACTTAAAATTATTTGGCAGAGAATTCGACACTTTAATGATGGTCTGGGCCTGGCTGGGGCAATGGCACGCGTGCCCACAGAGAGGGCTCTGAGTGCCACCTCTGGCACCCGTGCCATAGGTTTGCCACCACTGGACTAGATGGCCTATCTGGCCCCTTCCAACTCTGTGATCCTATGAGTCCTGGTTATATTGCTTTAGAGGCTTTCAGGTTACACCCGGTGTAACTGTAATTTTGGAATGACAAAGACGACGAGAGTAGCATTCAGCTGAGCAGCCTCCAACTTCTTAATAGTTTTCCAGGCCGAGTTTTGAGTGTAACGGGAGCTGACGCCACCACTGTTCTCTCCTTCCCCCAGACTCCGTGAAAGCGTGTCATGGCCGGGTCCTCGTGCACTGTCAAGCGGGCATCTCCCGCTCCGCCACCATCTGCCTGGCCTACCTGATCATGAAGAAGCGCGTGAAGCTGGAGGAGGCCTTTGAGTTTGTCAAGCAGCGCCGGAGCATCATCTCGCCCAACTTCAGCTTCATGGGACAGCTGCTCCAGTTCGAGTCCCAGGTGCTGGCGACGTCGTGTGCTGCCGAGGTTGCCAGCCCCACGGGGACGCTACGGGAGCGGGGGAATACCGCCTCCACCCCCACGTCCCAGTTCGTCTTCAGCTTCCCGGTGTCCGTGGCAGTGCATTCCACCCCCAGCAACCTCCCGTTCCTGCATAGCCCCATCACCACCTCCCCCACTTGCTAGACGGGGGGCCGCCACAGGTTGCGCCCCGATGCCGAACAATGTCTCACGGCCTCCTGGTGGCCGACAGATTAAACTGCAATAAAGTACTCTGCCCAAACCCAACAGCCAGTTGGAATCCATCCAAAGAGGGCGCAATAAGGGCGGAGGCTGCTGCTGGAACAGAAACTTAGGGAGGTGGGGCGGGAGGAAGTTCTAGTGTATCCTTGGCTGGGATGTCTTACCTCATTTTTTAAAAAGCTTGAAATTGTGAAATCCTTAAATTGTTGAGTTTTGGTGTTGGGGGGGGGGAGCGGGTGAGATGCTTCAGTTTGGCCCGCTGTGGCTGAAGATGTGTCTCGGTCGTGGCAGCGTCAGGCTTGTCTGAGTCCTGTTTAGCTGGACTGATGTGGGTCTTTGATGTGCTTGTGTGCCTCACGCCACCATTCCTTAGCTGTGGCTACGGCTGAAGTGGAGGGCCACGCTTTCCCAAAGTGCCTGGTTTTTGATTTGGCAGTGGGCTACAAATTCCAAATTCTTGCCATTTTTTTAACAAGCTCAGGTTCATTGGAAGGAAGAGACCGGGCCGGCCGTCATACCGCCAAGTGATTCTCTCAGTGCCGCTGTTGACAAAATATATGAAGTTAGTTATGATCAGCCCAAGCATGGGTCCCATTTTCAGATGGTAAACATCACACTCTTCTCGGAGAGGAGGAATGGGAGATGGGGAAGAAAATATTTCTCTATATTGAGGGATTGAAGGTTAGGAGAGAGGCTGGGCAGAAGAACTGCTATTTCTTTATGCCCCCTTTTTGGGGGGTTGCAGGGGAGTGGTATCCGGGTCTTGTTTGCGTATACCTCTCCCTACTCATGAGGAGTAAATTGAGATGCTGTTCAGCCAGCCTGCCTTTTCTCTGAATTGAAGTTAACAGACCAGCCAGCCATCTATCGATTCACCTGTACACCTGTTGTCTCCTCGGGCAAGAGGAAAACAAATAATTAGGCCCGTCATAAAAGCAACCCTCAGACAAAAACCTCCGCTGTGCTTGTCATGACAGGCCACGCTGAGTACTTCCAGCACCATCCTTGAATTACAAGCTCTGCCGCCTTGTGTTCTGGGAAGGAAGGAAAGGTGGGAAATTAAATCTGAAGGACTGTCACCCAAATTGCTTTCTCTGGTGGTCCCTCGAGGGCGAGGCTCTCCGAGCAGGAACTTCCCAGCATCTTGACCTCTCCAGGGCTGGTTGCCTCTTCTGTCTTTAAGGCCCAGGAAAGCTACATTTTAAAAACATCTCCCGTTTGGCCAATGGTAAATGTGCCTTTCCGCTCATTGTAAACGCACAAGGTGATGTTTGTGGCTTCCAGCATGGGGTGGGTGGGAGACGGGAAGGGCTGCTCTCCTTAGCCTCGGTTGATTTTAAGTGCCATTGAATAAGGAGGAAATAATAGCTACTCTGCTCTCAACTGAGACCTACAGGGTCTTCAAACCAGAACGCCATCAGCTTCTCCAGGTAACAGGAAGGCTTCTGTGCTTGTTAGTTGACACCGCAGGCTGGGTGTGGAGGGGGGTCTATGGAGGAGAGCCACGAATTCACAGGTGGGCCAAAGAATTACCTTCTTATATTGACTGCCTGTAGCACAGGGTAAGAAATGGCTTGGGGGTGGCTGTGTGTCCTCTGCTGCTGGGCAAGAATGTAAGAAAAGTTTGGTGGCTTAGAAAACAGTCTGTTCAGTTCATTTTGAACAGTAACCTCATGGACACCTCACCCTGGCTCCAAGATATACTGTTCTTGACGATGGAGGTTCCATTTGGCGGTGCAGATTTCTGTCATAAACGTGTCCAAGCCTTTTATACTTGCATCAGACCTTGTGGTAGTGGAGTGGATCCCACAAGCTGATCTTGCCTGATTCCCTCCTTACTGCTGTTCCCATTCTGCCCAAGCGAGTTCCAGCATGACCTTTTTAGTGATCCAAAGGGGGTACACCTTCCCCAGATCCAACACAGTGAATGTTCTAAATCAATTTCGTGGTGTGCAGAAGTGCTTCCTTGTTTTCAGTCCTGAATCTCTTTAAACACACAAACACCTGTCTGTAATGCTAGCTGTTATGTTTGGGATAAAGATCCCCCCATATCCAGCTGATGCAAGAAAACAGGCCCCAATTAAGGCTGGTATTTTCGGAAAGATTTAGAGTTTCGCACAGGGAGAACTTCTGCAGCCTCCTGCCCCATTTGGAAACAGCTCCTGAAACAGCATTTAAACACTATTAAATCCAGAGGCTTGGGCCTACCGTTCCTCTGAGGCGTATTAGGGGGGGGGTGTATAGTGTGAGTGGAACCTGCTGTGTAGCACCCATAAAGGTGTGTGTGTGATGCACACCATGGCCCCTCTCAAAGAAATTGGTAGGAGGGCTTGTACTTAGAGGGCCATGTTTAATGTGAGGACCCCCCCCCCCATTTTCTTCTGTTACCTTCTACCTAGGTTGGTTTTACAAGGTTCCCCCCATTCTTTATTCAATGAATAAAGGGGAGACAGAACTTTTTTCTCTTTTTCTGTTCCCCAAAACCCTGCAGGAACCAAGAGGTTCCCATAACTGTGATCTGAAGTAGGCCAGGGAAGATCCAGCCACTGTGCAAGATTCCTAGCCTGGGCGTAACCCTCTGAATTTCAACTGGGGGGGGGGCAGGGGGAGGATAGATAGGTGCTAAGATGTTATTGTCCTTGGCGAGGGGTAGGAAAGCAGATTCCATTCACACCCCAGTCTGCTGTCTCAGATGCAAGTTTCATCCTGCCTCAGGGCAAGGCTAGGCCCAAGCCTAAGGATTTAACGGCTGTTAAAAGGTGCTTTTCAAGGGGGTTCCAGGCCTGCCCCACTAAGGGATGTGCAAAAACCCCTCTTGGGAAGTTAGGCTAAGGTGCCTCAGAACATCTAAGAAAGGCCTTCAAAGTTATTTTCTTTTCTTGGTGTAGTGGTTAAGTCTGTGGACTCTAATCTGGGAGAACCAGGTTTGATTCCCCACTCCTCCACTTGCAGCTGCTGGATGACCTTGGGCAAGCCAAAGTTCTGATACGAGCTGTCCTTGAAAGGGAAGTTCTGGAAAGAGCTCTCTCAGCCCCACCTACCTCACAGGGTGTCTGGGGGGGGGAGAAAGGAGTTTGTAAGCTGCTCTGAGACTCCGAGTGAAGGGCGGGGTATAAATCCAATTTCCTCTTCTTGAATATTAAATTATCAGGACTGGAAGTCTGTGTTTTGAAGACTGGCTGAAGACACACTTGCTTCTTCACAGTTTGAAGAAAAGGATTATTATTTTTTTTTAAAAAAATCCCTTTGTTTAACTGCAGGCTTGTGTTTCAAACACATCATGTCCAGAGAACTGGTGTGAGCAGGAAGACTTTTAAGTCTGGCTTAGTATGAGGAGAATCACACCCCTCCTGTTGGCAGCCACTGTTTTTTGACACCAAGAAAAAGCTGGCCTTCAAAATTGAGGAAAAAAATAAAACTGGTCTTTTACTCCCCTGTACTCAGGTGAGGCACAGGAAAGCAATACTGGGTTTCTAAGCCTTATTATTGGTCCTCCAGAGGAACTGAGAAAGAATGCTGGACTGGATGGACCAGTGGTTTGAGACAGCTGGGTTCTTACATTCTTAAATCCCCCTCCCCAATATTGGTCTGCTCTGACAGTGCAGGTTGAATTTGGGGGGTGGGATGGAACTCCAGGGCTTTAGGAAGTTTTCTCACATGCCTCTTAATATGTAGACAGGCCATGACAGCTTAAAATGCCCCCTCATGAGAGCCAGCGTGGTCCCCTTCCTTACCTTCATGACTGAGCTTTTGATACAAAAATCCCCCCACACCAAGGCAATATCCCCCGTTTCCACCTCACCTCTTTGTGTGTGTTTTTTACATAGGGTTTTTCTTCTCTAAATGTGTCCCATTATTATTGTGTGTGTGGATTTTTTTTTAGGTTATGAATATGTTTTAATTTATTGCCTGAGAATGATCGTTTGAAGAAAAAAATAAATAACATTTTCAGCAGTTGTTTCTCTCTGTGCCAAGGTAAAATGATTTGATAATAGTTACGACCACCCAGGAAACAGGCTCGGGAAGCATATCTTTCACTGGGAGCGAACAAAGTTTGAGTCCAGTGGCATCTTCAAGACCAACGAAGTTTAATTCTGGATATGAGCCTTCATGTGCACACACACTTCTTCAGATAGAAAAAGAAAATGGTTCTTTGAGCTTTCTACAGGCAAGGAACACAAAGCTTTTCTTTAAAACTCTGCTTCTGAAAAGAAACCTCCGGCCTAGAACGCGATCTAAGACATGTTTGGTATATGCAGATGTGGCAAAGGCTTTGCATTTGCTCTGCTAATATACCCGATTGCTTTTTTAGAAGGAGGTATAGTTGGGGGGGGGGGAGAGAAGCTTTCCTTTTAAATATATAAAACCCCTTCACCATTATTCATCAGGGACCTTCCCCTTAAAATCAGGAACTTCAGACTTAGGAACACAAAGTTATAGATTTTTTCAGAGGGTAACTGTTTTGGCCTGCAGTGGAACAGTTTAGATTCAAGTTCAGTAGAACCTAAGAGTCCAATAAGCGTTTCAGGCCTTTGAGAGTAAGATCTCTCTTTGTCCAAGTCTCTATCTCAGTCAGAAGGTGGGAGGGGTGTTCTAAAGAATGCCAAAGTCCCAGTGTGTATTGCAATCAGCTTGCTTGGAGGCAGAAAATTAGCATCTGTAGTGAGACAGGAATCCTATGTTCATAGACATAAAAACAGACCCATAAAAAGCACAGTTACCTACAGCCACCTGTCTCTGAAGCCCACATACAGGACAAAGGCAGCTACAACTCACTACACTACTGCCCCCCCCCCGCAACTAGAGCGCCAGTACACACTACCCTCTGGGGAAGAAGAGGAGGAGACTGGATTTATACCCCTCAGAGCAGCTTACAAACGCCTTCCCCTCCCCAGAACTGCCCTTGCGAGAACAGCTCCGACAGAACTATAGCTTGCCAAAGGTCATCCAGCAGCTGTACGTGGAGTGGGGAATCAAACCCGGTTCTCCCAGATTAGAGTCCGCACACTTAACCACTACACCAAAGTGGCTCTCAACTGGATGAGAATCAGCTTACTTTTGATGGCTTTAAAAAATGACTGGACATCTTTACAATGAATCCTGTAACTTAACTCAGCATTGTGTGAAGTGCTTCCCTTTTGTCTATCCTGAACACT